CTGCTAGACGCTAAACATTCGTACCTGGTGATTGAACACAGCGCCTGTTCATGACCGTGCCATGACCTCCCTCCCTCCCGTCAATACAAGACAGACGATAGTGGGATAACCCATCCACCATCCGGACGGCCGGCGCCGGGTCTCTGAAAGGCCTGTTTGTTCTGAGCGCGCCCCTGACACCCGATGTATGGCCATCGTTCTGGGCCGGCGATCAGCCTCCGCGGCGCGGCGCCGAGCCGCTAAAGGAAGAGCGGTCACCCCGCTGGCCAGCTGTGAGGTCACGAGACAGGAATCCGGAGCTGCTGCCCCGCGCGGGCCACACGGGAGACGTCCGGGGGCCCGCGGCGGGTGCTAAACTTACCACGGGATTAGTGAGTCCACCTGGTCACAGCAGTTAATAAAGTGCCGTAGAAAACCAGGGAGAGTATTTGTCATCCACCTTGTCAAACATGGCCAGCAGAAAGAAAATGACAGATGCATGAACGCTTGCCCCTGTCTGCTACAGACGCCGCGCGTTTTTCCAGGTCGCGATAATTGAGCTTCGGTCTGTGACAGGCCGCCTTGGCGCCATTTTCGACCGGTGGGCGCCGAATTGGCGGGGTCTCAGATGCGCCGTCACGCCTGTGACGGGTGCGTCACGGGCTTCTCTGTGCCGTGACACGTCAGTGGCCCACCTCTGACCGTTATCCGCAGAGAACTGACCCGGTGAGGGCTCAGCTAAGGTCTGCATCATAACAGCGCTGGTGGACGACAGGCGAAATTAGTCCCAAACGCATCCTCCGCTTGATATGCGACTGCCTGAGCCCAACGGATTTATATGCATCATTTGCAGCAGCTTGAGCTGCATTAGACTCAAATAATTCGCAAGTGTAATTTAACCGGCTGAGTTATAGATTAGGGTTGGAGAAATAAACATATCTAGAGAATACAAACAAGCATCCTGATGTTCTTCGTTCATTAGTGGGGACACTTTGCCTCATTTCGAGCTGACGGGCCCATAAATATGAACATCTTGCCGGCCGATCTGCCGTCGATATGCCGCCCATGTGATGAGTATCTGCATGTGAGCAACACCTTCACAAGGATAGGTAATTCATGTCGATTAGGTTTGCAAATAAAAGCAAATTGTTCTTCCGTTTACTCCAGTGTGAAGCTCACCGGCAGCTTATCTCACCCTTGGCTGTGAGATACCCACTCTGCCGATCAAGCTAAAAATACCTAGAGGGACTTTCAAGCGTTGATGAATCGCTGATTGCAAAAACACGATATCACTTCAATTTTAGACGGGTCTTGCAGCTGTGCCGTTCTGCGTCCGACTCGCAATTGATCATGTCTGTGAATTCGTTGAGAACTATGTTCAATTATTTAGAAAAGAATGCCTGATCGGCAGACCCTCTCCAGACTCTAATTACGCTGCAATGTAATCAACTGGCGCCCGGGGCCACTCCTTACTCCCTCCCCCTATTACCCCAGTCTGGCATTTGTGCCGGGCAGGGGTGACCTGACCGGCAGCTCGGTATCGGGTTACTCACCGGGTGCTAACGAAGGGCTGGAGCCTGGAACGGCCTCCGCGCCCGCGCGGCCCGCTCTGGACACGTGCTCTGGAAATCAGAGGCGTTGACACGTGCCGACAGACGACACAGATGTGGAAATGTCACCCAGAGGCGTGATGAAAACTGAACTAGTTACTCAGCTGCTGAATTCGAGCCATGTTTAGGTTGCAAACATATGTGTTACCTGACCCGTTTTTTGCAACAACGTGTGTTTTAATACTAGATTTTGCTTGAAGAATTAACTAACTGGTTTGTTAGCATTTTTTACAGTGTATCGACAGAGATTCGGGTGGATTGTTTTGTGTGCAATACTTTACAAGTAAAGGTGTAGAACAATGCATAAACGATGAACATCTTAGTCGTTGTTTGTGATTACAGCCAGTTTGATTGATTAATTGGCTCTGACATTTACTGATCCGATACGTGACCTTTCTAACGTTTGATGCAGCTGCCGTGACATTAGCATCTCGTGTCTGGTATTTCGTCTCAATGATTCACGGCCGCCGCTCAATAAACATTGCCGTGCCCTGCTGGTCCGATTTCCGGCGATCGGGGGACCGGAGCTCGTTAGACTGTGTCGAGTCATCACCCGTCAGCCCCCGACCGGCTCGGCTCCGGGGGGATCGGGCTGGTAAAACAGGTCAGTCTGATGCCCAGGCACGGATCGGACCGGTGAGTCAGGTGGAGGTAGGGCGCGGCGGGGACTTTCTGTTCCTCTCCTTATGAGGGGACTGAGGGCGCAGGTCTGGCTTTTCGATGTTCAGTCGTTCGTTCAGTCGTTACCGCTTTGTTCCAGTTAGTCTGAGTCTCGGGCTTTGTCGGAGATCGGTAATCACGAAGTCAGATAATCAGCACGGGGTACCCGTTTATGGTGTCTTATCTGATAAATCGATTCGCTGTACTCACGCTGGGCAGTGTACCTGTATCAACATGTTTGTTGTCAGAAACTTATAACCTTCAATGCTTTTTCGAGAAATATTGTACACCAAACATGTTTGCTTTTTTACATTTGATTTTACCACGTCTATCCGTCTTCGCGCAATGTGTCCAGCAAAGGCGCCCGCCCTTCTTGTCACCACCATTTCTGAAGTCGGCACATGAATGTTGTTGCCACTACACAGTTGACGGATCTCCATTCCGGTCCCAACACTGACTCACACCCCTCTCTGAGCAGAGCAGTGACCAGCGCTGTCTCCGTAAGGATACAGCCCGTTCGTGTTTACAGCGCTGTCGACATGACGATCGGACGACAGAAAACCACGGAATGTAAATTAGCCAGTGGCCACCCCATGTCGCCTCCTTATGTGATCGATTCCAAATGGTCCGACATGTGAGATGGCGCCGGAACATGATCACAGCACTCACCGATAATGGTGCTGCCTGCTGGTGCAAATTGGGTGGTGACCGGTCTGCCTGTCACACCACTGGTGGTATTTTGTCTGAGAATTCCTGACGCGGCCAGACACAGATCACCTGACTAGTGCTCCCGCTGTGACCTGTCTGGTTTTCACCAGGTCCAACCGTTTCCACCAGGTCTAGGTAACCGTTTCTTCGTATCGATGTCTGAATATCTCAGTGTGCGGCGACTCCGGCTGGGTGTGTGTTTTCTCTCCCATCTTTGGTAAAGATGGAACCGCATATTCAAAACGCTGACCTCACTGGAATGTGACGCGAGCTCCAAAGGTCAACATCCTCAGCCTTTCTTCGATCCCAGCTCTGACATGACCTGACCCAACCCTCTCATATCCATTGAACAGGTTGCACATCCTTTATCCCTGACACAACTCTATAGTCAGCTCAACCTAACCGATGCCGCCCTCTCCTATCACTCCCTTCTGACACGACCCTGACCCGACCGGCGCCGGCTGGACAATACTGGAGCCACCGGTCGGAGCTGCGGCGGCGCCGGTGGACAATACCCTGCCACCGGTGTGAGGCTCCTCACCACCGTCTCGTCTCCGCGCCGCCCCCCGCCGTCCGCGCCGCCGCCAGACTGGCAGCCGCTCCATACATCATTAGACGGCAGCGGCGGCTGATGCGGCGCTCTATCGCGTCATCTTATCGCGGCGCGGCGGGCCCGTATATGGCGCAGAGGCGCGCCGAACTGTAATGGAGCCCCGAGAGGACCGGCCCGGCGGACCGCAGGACCCAACAGGACCGTGGGCTACAGGACCAGACCAGGCCGCGCCGACCTCTGATGGCAGACGGTTACAGCGGGACGTTCTATGGGACCGGGAAATGACGAACGGGCTGGTCACGTCTGCGTCACCGCCGAACCGAGTTGGTTCGACAGACATATTAGATTGATCAATAAACTGAGACCACGTTTCATTCACAGACGACTAATGTCTGAAATACGAATAAGCCGACGAACCAAATGACCACAGACTTACCAACAATGAACTTCCAGTCCACTAACCGCAGACCACAAACCACAAACCACTGAACCGGGAATCACGAGTCACGAACCACACACAGACCACACATCATTCATCATGAACTACAGACCACAGATCACTGGCCCGTGGACCAAAGACCACCGGTGTCTAGGGACTACAGGCCACGGGCCGGGCTCAGACCGCTCGGGTTCAGATGCTTACATCATGAGTTCGCAAGACGGATAGGTGACAATGTATCGTCGTTACGAAGCAATCGTGTCAAGGCTGCTAAGGCACCATGGATAGATATAGATGGACTTTCCGCTTTTCCGCAGGCCAGTGTACCGGCCAATGTCGACCAGAAGTCAAAAACGACCTGTGTTCAGCGCTGTAGCAGTGCCATAGTAACTTGCTGCAAAGTCGTTAATCAAGCCTTGATGTCATTGATATGATGATTTTCGATCCCATTGAAGGACGCAGCCATTTCAGCATTGTTAACTGATGCCATCAATGGCTCATTATGTCCCGACCTAGCGCTCCGTGGCGGGCGGAAATGACTCGTATGCAAAGTTTGGATGGGCCGGCCATGTTTTGCAAACATCCGTCCGATCGCTGCCCCCTGGATGTCTGAGTGACTTCGCTGACAGAAAACAGACGTTCTACATGTGTTCGGGATGGCCCAACGTGTGTCCGGGTGTCGACTCGTGGTGTTGGGTGGTTCGCCCAGATCAGATTCAGGTGGTGATGACAATGTGATGGATGAATTGCGGTAAGGGCGCTTCGCTGAGGTTCCTTGTTTACCTGCTGTTCCGAGTATCCGGCGATCGTTTTGCGATAGTGGTGTTGTTATATGTGTGAAAAGTGTACGGTTACGTATGATGACTGAAATATTTAGGTTCTAAAACTCATCACTTATCAGACTGATGCATGAACAGCACATCATTTTCCCACCCGTGTCACCTTGATCGTCTTGACCTATCCACTTGACATATCCACTTGCCTTCGCCGTGTGACCTGCCTGTCCTCTACCGGCCGATCTGTGAAGCTGAGTTTCCTCTCTCTCCCGCAGCACATTGGCTGTGACGGCGTGGTGGGCTCGCCTCGAGTCCGGGACGCGTGCGGCGTGTGCGGCGGAGACAACAGCACCTGCCACCTCGTCTCCGGCATATTCACCGAGCCGCACCTGCGCGAGGGCTACCAGCTGGTTCTGCAGATCCCGGCCGGCGCCTGCAGTATCCGTATTGAGGAGGTGGTGCCCACCAGAAACTACCTGGGTAAGTCATGGGCACCGTCAGTGTTCGTCCTGAGACTGCCGGCCGCCGACCACTCATCCTTCCTCGCAGCTGGCTGTCATCATCATCATCATCATCACTCCGTTTATTACTTCAATGCACAAAACCATCATGAGAAATATCTGAGAATTGGCACAAAAGCACGAAGTGCTTAATTCGGGGTACCAACTCTCAACTAAAGAAATAGAACAGAACAGAACATCCAGCAATTGGTGATCACTGCTGTCACCGCCGCCACGTCGAACCCCGCGACCATCGTACTAAGGTACCGACTGGCCCCGCAGCCGCCGCGCACCCCTCCCCGAGCACCGCGCCCAAAGTATGTAATTGTATAAGGACAGGATCAGGAATCGAAACGACGTGAGTTCATAAGGAACGTTTGGAAGGATCGAGCCACCGGCAGACGCTCACCGCTGTTCAGGTTTGTGCCGTGAAGTAATGTGTCCAGCTGGGTACTTATTGGGAATTGACGTATGTCATAATGGAGAGTATTAGGCTGTCTTCAGGAGCAGAATCTGTCCTCGCTGTCCTCACGAGTAGCATCTGTCCTCTCTGTCCTCAGAACCTACCGTTCAGAATACATGACCGCCGATCCGGTCCGATCAGCCTTCCTTTTAAACATCGGCCTGATAAGGTTTGTTGATGAAGGAAGCACACATGACTCATAATCAGATGCAACTTTCCTAATAGAACGTAGAGCAAAGCTACCGATGCATTCCGTGAAAATGGCGAGCAACTGATTTTAATGTGATGTGTCGTTGCAATATGACGTGTTTGGAGGAATTCCTGTTTTGCCGACTCTATTTTTCTAGCTGCCATCCTGTTTGCCACTTTGCGATAAAGTGTCTGATATTCCATTCCGAGTACCGCCGTCGTCACAGCTCGCTCCTCATATCTTTCTTTGACAGCGCTGCGAGCCGGCAACAAAGAGTTTATCGTGAACGGCGCCTGGAACATCGACAACTCTGGCCAATACCAGGGCGCCGGCGCGACGTTTATGTACCGGCGGCAGACGGACACCCAGGGGGAGACGCTGGCCGCCACCGGACCGATCACCGAGCCCGTGGACATATTTGTGAGTTCGAGACTGACGTGGAGACATGTCGGTGTTCTTTCTTTTAGTTTTCGGAGCGGGACAATATGATTCACGGTAAGGGATGTGTTTGGGTTGACGATTTATTGCGATACATTTATGGAATCGTTTGTGTGGAGTGAGGTGAGGTCTTGTGTTGACTTATGACAAGGTGATGCTATATGTTCTCTATGCATGCTATAGGCTCACCATTCCCTATATATGGACATTGACCAGTCCGTGGTGTGCTAGACACAAATGTTCTGCCGAAGCTTCTGTAACTAAGCTGACATTTTTTTCTTATTCCTCAGCTGTTGTATCGCCAAATGAACCGCGGTATCAAGTACGAGTACATCATCAAGCGGAACGCCTCTCTGAGCTCGGTGCTACCGCGACTGCCAAACGATCTGCAGAGCCTTCCCCCGGCGCCGCCTCCTGCACTACCGGCGCTCCCGCAGCTCCCGGCCCGTCCGAGCGTCGTGCCCCGACCCACCGGACACAGGAACGCCGTGCCAGCGCCGGGGGTGGCCCGGCCGGCACACACCGCGCCGCGGCTCCCAGCAGCGCCGGTCGCGCCAGGTCAGAGACGATGCCAGGTGCTGGTGTAGGACGGATGAAGCTATTTTGTGATACTTGATTTGTTTGAAGAGAGTTAAATCATTGCTGGTAAGCTACATATAGCTCGCCTCCGGCCAGGATTGTGGCCATTTGAGGCTCCCCAATGAGAGCTGTTTATTTCCGAAGATATTGGTACCTATAATCCGTACTGATCAGGCCGTCGTGTGCTCCTTCCCCAGGCTCCGCAGGGCCCGTGCCGTCCCCGTTCCATGCGGCGGCGACACCGCCCCACCAGCCGGGTCGCCGGCGCGGCCCCGGGGCAGCCATCGGTCACCGGAGGGGTCACCGGGGTGGCCGGCGCCGGGGCCGGGTGCACAGGCCGGGTCTGCCGCAGCAGACTGCCCCGGCGCGGCCCGCGCCCCGGCCGGGCTCGGAGCCGGCGCGGGCCCGGCCGGCCGCTGGGCCGGGCACCCACCGTCGTCGCCGCCGGCGCCGGCGCCGCAGCCGCTTCCAGTGGGTGGTACCCGGCTACTCCGAGTGCTCCAAAAGCTGCGGAGGAGGTGAGACCCGGCAGAGTGGGTGTCTGTGACAGATCTGCGAGAGGTTTTGTTTGCATTCGGCTCTGCCTTTTAAAGTTCCTTTTTAACATTCCTAATTATCTGATTGACGAAGCTAGAGGCCGTGATAATCAAAGTTTTTAGCGCAGACCGAGATTTATATCGTCCAATCGGGGAGTTCCTTGAAGCTGGAATCTTATGCATGTCTTCTTCTTTTTGAACAAACCTACTTGTGTCTCTGTTATAGCGGTTGCTTTTGATTCTCGAACATACATCATCGCCACGAGTATCCGTCCTCCCTCCCTAGCACTGGGTGTCCCATGCCTCCTCTCGAACCGCCCTTCGTGTTCCTTCCTCAGGTACTCGAGTCCCGGAGGTGGTCTGCGTGCGTCGGAAGAAGAAGCAGCTGGCTCCCGACAGCAAGTGTAACCCTCGCCGGCGGCCGCGCACCCGGCCCGTGCTCTGTAATACGGCGCCCTGCCCCGTCAGGTCGGTGGGGATAGGAGATAGATGGTGGTGTTAGTGCGATGTGAAATCCATTTCGCATCTTAAAGTATAAGAGAACAGCAATTCTTGCAAGTTTGCCAGATGAAAAGCAGACCATATTGGACTGCAGCATGCTCCTAAAGACCAACGGTTTTGTAAACATGCTTGTCTTTTGTGAAATCATCCAAGCTGTACGTAAAATTTTCATTTGATTTGGTTCCTCACCATCTGTCTGACCATATGTTAGTTAGCATCACCTGACTGACACCCTTGTCTCCCAGCAGCGTCACTGACTGACATCCCTCTATCCGGGCAGCGCTGCGGCCGTCTGGCGGGCCAACGAGTGGTCGGCGTGCAGCAGCTCGTGCGGCGCCGGCCACCAGACGCGCACGTTTCTCTGTGTGCGCGCCGGACAGCCGGTGGAGGTGACCGAATGTGTGGGCCGGCCCACCGAGCCGGAGACGCAGCCCTGTAACCCGGGACCCTGTCGGCCCGAGCTGCGCTGGCACGTCGGACGATGGAGCGCGGTGAGTGCCGAAATCGGCTCGAAATGCTCCCGAAATGTTCCCGACGTGTTCCCGAAATGACCACCTTATGGCCACAAATCAGGCATTTTTAGCATTCCTGTCAAACATAGCTCGGGGTTGATTGGTTTTATTTCCCCGCGACTGGTTGGCGCCTTGTTGAAAAATAGCAGCGATGCTGAAAATAGTGCATTGTGCATGGTTCCGATGACGGAAGCCGATGTTATCGAAACTATTTGGAATGCTTTGATAGCGTCCTGTCGGGAGGTTAATGATGTTTTCCTGATATTTCTGACCGGGTCCGTTAGCGGGCTCGCCTCACGGCACGGAGCTTGTTTGACTTGGAGTAGACCGGAGGTAAATCAAGGGGATTCAGAGTCAAACCATTGGCGTGCAGCTATTTCATCCTGAATGCCAACGTAACAAATATGCGGCTGCTGGTAATAAATCATTTCGAATCCAGCTTCAGCCTACGTTCTTGTTTCCACTATATGCCTTATCAACAGTTATAGGCTAAACCGCGGCACACGTATGTATTGCGGGGCAGTATATCACCCAGGCGTTTTGTGCGTGAATGTAGGCAAGCCCGCACTGCAGTCGCCAGTCGCCTTTGGAAAGTGCGTGCGACATTAGCAAGTGACAGACCCGTCCCCCTCTGTGACCTGTCCCCCTCCCTCAGTGCTCTGTGAGCTGCGGCTGGGGCACCCGGACCCGCTCTGTGACCTGCACCGACCAGCTGGCCGGCTGTCCGGAGTCGGAGCGACCGCGAGACACCGCGCCGTGCCGCCGGGCCGATTGTCCGCCCACCGAGGAGCCCGGCGGACCGGGACAGGGCGGACCGCCGCCGCCCGCCGGATGGATGGTCACCGACTGGACACAGCAGGTAGGGGCGGTGAGACTGAGAGAAAGGATGAGTGAATTTTCATACCGCAACTTCGGTAGAATCGCTAGATAAAACATTAATCGTTTGTAGCTGAAGATGTATCCGAAAGAATGCGTATCCGATAAATATGCGCCGAAAAGTCCTCTCATGTCGATGTAGCTCACTCTTCGTACTCTTTCTATCTACCCTGCCTACTCAGTCATCTCTTGTAGCTAACGTTACTTGTACATTTTGCTATTTTACCTTTTAGCTGTCATTTCTCGCTCGCCGTCTCCGTAGCGTTGTCGGCAGCGCGTTTGACCCTTTTCTCCCGCCCTCCCAGTGTTCGGTGGAGTGCGGCCAGGGCGTCCAGTCGCGCGGCGTGGCCTGCGGCGGTGACCCGGGGCGCTGTGACCTCTCTCAGAGACCCTCTGATACGCGGCCCTGTAAGACAGACAGGGGCTGCGCGGGAATCTGGTTCACCGGACCCTGGAGCCAGGTCAGTCGGGAGAATGGTCTGTTCGATCAGAATTCAGGCGGGGTGCGGTTGGAAAAGGTGTGCTCTGGCCTGCATGTTGTAAGTTGAAGCTTTTATACGATTCGTAATGTTTGCTTCCAGTGAAACAAGTCAGTCGCATGCTTTATTGCACGGGATGAATATTATAGTGTCGCCTTATTAGAGACGCCTATACAATCACAACGATACCGTAAACTCAAAACTGTCTTGTGTTCCAGCGTGCTCGTGTATGACGCGTTTACACCCTCTCTCCGTCCCTCAGTGTTCCCGGGAGTGCGGTGTCGGCGGCGAGGCCACCCGGACCGTGCTCTGCGTCCGTCAGTCCGCCGGCCAGTTCTCCGTCACCGCAGACCTCTCCTGCGCCGGCTCGCCGCGGCCGGCAGCCCAGCAGCCGTGCGCCGGCGGGCCGGAGCGCCGCTGCCCGCCGCGCTGGTTCGCTGCTGACTGGGCCGAGTGCTCGGTCACCTGCGGCTCCGGTCAGCAGCGACGGGTGGTGGCCTGCGTCGGCGCCGACGGCAGACTGGCGGCCGGCTGTCCGGACGGCGAGAGACCCGAGGAGCGGCGACCCTGTCAGCAGGCAGAGTGTCCAGGCGCCGGTGAGTAGTGGCCAGAGGGAGGTGACCGGCCGGGGCGGCGTGGGGTGCTTCATACTTCCCAATGTCACGGCAGTATAATTGGTGGTCTAGTATGCGATGCTGTTGCTACGGCTGGATGCTATAGAATGCTGAAATATCCTCTATCGTCTTTTTTTGGGCCTCTTATGGGTTGCATTATCCGTTGCTTTCTCATGATAGACTCATTCTTTGCAGGTCCTTTACTGTTTATGAATCCATAAGTCATGCACCAGCTGCTCCAAAAACTCTCCCAACGCTTCCAGGATTAACTTCTTATCCTGCTCCTGATTGGATAGTTAAATTGTGCGCTTCACTAGTTGGAGACTTCTGAGGAACCTCTCTCTACTTGCCAAAATACCCCACTAGTTCCCGAGTGTACCACCAGCAGTGACGCGGTCTCTCCGCCGCCTAGGTGATAGTTTTCGTATGCGCGTGGAATGGCTGCAGTCTCCTGAGCCGGAGATACGGTCAGTCCCGGCCCGAGGCCGCGAGCTCTCAGTGTGCCCCGTCTCCGTGCCGTGTGCAGCTAACGCCCAGCCCCCACACAGACACCGGGGGTGTAACGGGCTCAGTACGGACACGGTCACTGCCTACCAGGGACAGGTGCACCGCCCGGCTTGGCTTGGCTGGCGTCCGTCAGCGCTTTTGAGTTTGGTTTTATGTCTGTGAGCGGCGAGCGCTTTGTATTGGGTTTTGTTGCTAGTGCTACATGATGCAGTTTTTGTGACAGCTGATACGGCATGACTGTGGCGTTTCCGTTTTGCTTTTTTGTTTCCGATATGGTGAAATGTCGTTTCGTCTTCTTGTTTTCTGGCAAGGATTATTTCCATTTTTAAGTGCTTGGAACTTTTATGCGGTATGTTTCTGTGTCTTGTGTGCGCGTGTTGCTTATTTGTTGTCCGTTTGTCTGTCCGTCTGTCCGTCCATTCTCACGTCTGTCCGTCCGCCTCGCTTGTTATCTGTACGTCTAGTTCACCTCCCTGCCGCTGGCGGCGCCACTGTCGCCGTCCGTACCTGACGGGCTGCTCTCCGTGCTTCGTCCCCTGCAGCGTTCACCACTGAGCCAGTGCCGACGCCGCCCAGCCGACCTGAGTCCTCAGCAGCCGAGCCGCCGTCCCAGCCTCGCCTGACGCCCGTGCTGGGGCCCGAGTACCACACGGTCGAGGGCTCGGACACTGAGGTGCAGCTCGGGTCGGAAGACGGTCCTCTGGGAGGTCACGTGACTGGTCTGTCTGGTGGAGACAGGTCCGGTCCGTGGGACCATCAGCTGTGGGCTCAGACGGCTAACCAGACCGAGACGGCCCGCCCGGCCGCCGCAGAGCCGCTGGACGGGCCAGGTGTGGCGGGGCTGAGACGGCAGGATGGTGGTAAACTGCCTGAGCCGGCGGCTCCACTGCAGGATAGCTGGAGCTCGGGTACGATAGAGCGACCGGTGGAGAGCGAAGTCACGTCTCCGTCTGGCGCAAAGGTTGGCTCTGAAGACGACTCAGACGGCGACTTTGGGTATGACTCTGACGACTCATCCTCTGCGTCAACCGACTCTACCGACTGGTCGACTCAGGGGCGATCCAGTCAGGAGTCAGGGACTCACACCACCACCTCAGCACCCGAGGCTGTCACAGAGTCCGAGTCAGACGGCGGGGGAGCGGCTCCGGTGGACAGAGGAGGAGAGGAGGAGGAGAGGGCGGAGCGGTGACGGCTCTGGTAACAGCACTGGTGGGGAGCGGGAAGGTAGGTGGCGCTGCCGTCGTACGGTGGTGGTCGGCAGGGATGGAGTGTCGTGTTTTGTTTAGGTAGTTACTTATTCCTACAATACATTTGCAACAGTGTGTCTCTCTGGCTAGCCATTAACATTGGTTAAAGATGGCATTACATGTAAAACTAATGGTAACAGATGGCAAAAAGCTTATCGTACTATGTACTATGTATGCTGTCTTCTTCTTTACAAATAGCCATCGGGCACCGAGAGGGCATCGAAAAGAAGTAATGATATCCTACCGTTGCACTTTTCTGACTACCGACACTTTGAGTGTCCTGACTGTCGCCTGCCCGCTGTTCCAGACTCCTGCACGGATAGTCTGAGCCACTGCAGTCTGGTGCGGCGGGCCCGGCTGTGCCAGACCAGCTTCTACGCCACGTCGTGCTGCGCCTCGTGCCGGCGCCAGCGGCGGTGATGGGACGGGGAGAGAGCCGTCCATCCTCCGCCCGCTGCTCCTCCATCGCCTGACTGATCTACCGAACATCTACCGGAGGAGAGGAGGCAGTCTACCGTCCGCGCTTTCGGCTGCCGCTTTGAGAGTGCTGTGCCGTCCGCGGATCCGCCCGCTGTGGAGGCTGAGTCGTCTCGGGCATAGGTCGTCTGGTCTGCAGGCTCTTCTGTGGAGTGCTACTACTTTGGTGGTGTCAGGAGTCTGTCTCAGAATTTTGACGCTGGAGAGTACTTGTGGTAATGCTACGGACCTGTGGCTGTCTCGTACGGGCCGATGAGCGAGTGGCGCCAGCTGAAATAAGTCAGTTTTGACTAAAAGTGCCATCTGGAATGAAATAAATATTCGGTCCAGCTGCGTTACGAGGCGACTCGACTGCTAGCGCCCCTAGCGGAGGTAATATGAACTGCAGGCCGGTCCGGTCCGATGCCTCTGGCTGCTGGCGCTAATGACGCTTCATATAGAAACGCTTCTGCGCGTGCTTTCTTCTCTAGCAGTGCTGCCAGAACTTGGGTGATCAGAGTGTTGAGTTCGGTTGTTGCGAGAAGAGGTGATTCGCGTGACGCATCTTGCTGGTCTCCATACGAATGTGACTGCTGTGTGGCTGCTGAGCGCGGGATAAGAATGCCGGTTGGAATTGTGTGCTGAGGCCGACACCGCACTGTTAGATGTCTGCTATGCGTTGATGTGTGCGCCTTGTGGCGCTCGCGTGTTAGTTTGATGAGTCGTTGGGCCGGTTGTCGTTGATGGTCTCGTTCTTATCTGATTGGCATATTGCGTCTTTTTCCGGCACATCTTTGAAAAACTCCGTGGCAATGTTTGCACCATGTAGCAGCGTTGGTGCTGTGCCAATAATTACGTTCGAGCCTCTTTTGACCGCTTATGCGGATTTGGACTTAATCTGTTCATTGCCAAATACTGTGCCGAGTATTTATAAACACACACACTGTGCGCACGTTTTGTCTGTCTGGGTCTGTGCAATCGGTCTGTTTACCTCAGCACACACGCGTACTGCCCGGCTGGGTTTCCGCCGCGGTTATTGGAGCGTTTACCACCCCATTAGCGTCAGACGATCCGTCGAGGGGGGCTCGAGTGGACGACTCCAAACGGCACCGACAGGATGCGTCGTATTTCATCCGTCGGCGGCCCCGTCCTCCGCCCTCTGCCCGGCTCTCCTCCGCCCCTCTGCCCGGCGCTCCTCCGCCCTCTGCCCGGGTAATCAGAGCCGCGGGCCTGGCCGGACAGCTGAGTCGGGTCCGCAGTGGATCTGGGTGAGGCCTGCGGGGGAACGAGGTTACACTGAGGATTGATATGGCTTAGGAGCGTCGCATAAATGTTAGAGACGGCCAGAGACTGGACACCGTTCCGTGCTTCTATCCTCAGGATACTGAAATCCTTCTCCTCCACGCCGCAACCCCTCTCCGGGCTGGACAGGCAACTTTATCTCATGCGGGCTGCTCCCTTGGAGCGGCACCGCTGCTCCCGAGGGAGCGCACCCCGTAGCCGGGTGCAGTGAGTGCCTTGGGGCTGGGTGGCCTGTCCTCTGGACGGGCTCAGCCCCGGCGACTCACTAGGGTGCCTGCCCAGACCAATGTCTCCCCCTATATCCTATCATCCTCCCGGCTCTGAAGTGGTCTCATTGGACCGAAAGGGCCTAACCCAACAAAACAAACAAAACAAAGAGACTGGACGAGGCGTCTAAGGACGGTCAGAAGGATGGCCAGATGTATGGTCAGCGGTCAGACAGATCGCTGCTAATGGGGATGGTCAGACGGGTTACGGTACGCTGTCATTGCCGTGATACGTAAACGTCATACATAGCTCGGGCATGGCAGGGTCTCCGATACATGATTCTCAAAAATCTAATTGACCTAACCACTCTGTAGGGATTGATAATTACCAGTAGGTAAATGATTAATACCATCGACGTCAATAAGTAAAGTTCCACGGTATTTTATTCCCCAAATCTCCCGGGGATTAATAGGTGACGACCAGGATCCGGAATGTATTGGATAAGGTTCCGTTTGATCAGTTGGTGAGCACTTTGAACAGGCTGCCCCTAGTGCATGAGTTCCATGACCCGGGTCCTAGGCCCTATTCGATCAGTTGAAGAAAGTGTCTGACGAGCCAATTAGGAATGATTCGATCCTAATGGGTGGAGGCTTCTATTGACTCGGTTCTACTCATGTTGTAGTCGACTGGCCCGATCCCGATGACCCTTCTGACGGTCGGATGGAGGCGCTGAGGCCAGCCCTCTGCCCCGGTCATTCGCTGGTCAGTGACGCCGTAACGTGACACTGCTGGGCGTAACGTGACGCCGTGCCAGCCTCGGACGGCGCTGGCGGTCGTACATTCCACAAACAGCCCCCCCCCCCCCCCCACCAGTCACCCGTCCGTCCCGTGGCAGTGCCCCGCTGCAGCCCCAGCGGTCTCAGTGACGACATCTCGGCTTAGAAAGACCGAGCTCAGCCGGCGTCATTTTATCATCAGCCAGCTGGGAGCACTTAGATCACACTGCAGCTGCCATCATTGGCCAACCCGGAACATCCTTAGGTGCAGGGCTGCGGAGTATATGGATTTTCGGGCGACTCCGACCCGACTCCGGGCAGAACTGTCGACTCCGACTGACTCCGACTCGGACTCCGCAGCCCTGCTTAGGTTATTAACTTTGCCATCGATTATGTTACGATTATGTACGCCATTCTTTTGAGAATGGCTGGAGTTTCGAAATACCTACTAAAAAAAAAAACTATGGTAATGCATCCTAAAGTTGGTTATAATAAGGGATGCATGATGTATGCGATGATACGATATCTGGGATACAGGTACCGGGCCTTAAGGACAGAGGAAGTGAACAATGGGAGTTAACCGGCGTCCTGGTGGGGTCTGTTTTGACGCGACCTGGTGATGGTGGTGGTGGTGGTGGGGGGGGGGGGAGCTATTTTTGCCCTCCCCTCGTATCTCCGAAACCTTAAACTACTAGACGGATCCGCAAAATTCAAGGGGTGTTCCAAAGCCCTATCAAATTTGTGAAGAGAACTCGAATTTCATTGACCTCGGGGTCACCGATGACGTCACAGGTCAGGTCAAAGAAAATGTTTTGCCGTTCACGGGTCTTCTAGGGAATGTGTTATAACATCGAGCAAAACGCATTTTATTGTAAATCAGCGATAGGCCGTCAGTTGCCTGGTACATATGTTACTATAAGAGGTCACTGATAATACCAGGTCAGGTCACAGGTCAGGTCACCAAGGGTCAACACATGAACCTAATTTTACTAGGGCTGTGCGATGCATGTTTTGTGGCCAATTTTTCATTTCTAAATCAACGGTGCAGGTTTTAAGACCATCAGGAACGGTTTAGGTCATTTCTTTGTGGGGGTCAGATCAATGTCAGGTCAAAAAGGTCAAATTTCAAAGTTGATAGTTTAGCATAAAATGGATACCTATTGATTCGATGCAGCTCATCACGGCGAGTCTAATGGTGGTCTTTGTTTTGCCCTACGTGGTCTAGCATTGCTAAAAATTGAGTTTGAAAATTTGACGTCATCAATTTTGAGCAGTTTTTTCCCTATAACTTGACCAAAAAAAGAGATATCGATCTAAAACTTTGTAGGTATGCGAATAGAAATTGCTAGGGGCTATCACATGTATTCTGATTTTTCCGGAAATCGGAAAGCTTTTTGAATTTTTGGCTAACATATTACAAAAATATTTTTGGGGGTCAAAATTCTAAAATTTCAAAATTTTGGGAAAGCAGTTTAGTAGCCCTGATAATTCTACAACTTTTTTGTATCAACTTTTATGATAATTGTACAACTTAACTGTATCTTCAAAGCTATAGGTAGGCCTGACAGCTCTTCCCGCGAAACCTTTTTTGGGTCGAAAACGGCTGAACATGACGTCATTCTGACGTCATTAACGGCCAACCTATCATAGCCTTTGGATTTTTTTGTCACAATAGGTTGATGCCTGGGAGGGCACTGAAAGTTTGGTGAAGATCGGCGCAGCGATTCTTGGAGATATATCGAAAAGGCTGGATCATGCTTTCACCGTATTGACTTTAGTATCCCGTTATATCTATGTGTACCAGATTTAGTACACACTACATAAAGCAACGCTACCTACTTGGTTTCAGTGCGGCATGCTTGGCTCTTCTGCTTACTTACTACACAGTCCACATCGGCAACAGAATAATATTCGAAGTTAACTACCCTCTCCCACAGGTCACAGAAGAACGTAACAGTAGTATAACTAGATATATCTCGTTTGTGCTAATGTGTCGGTTTGAAGTAACACTAGGATAATTGCGTTGATAACTGCTGTCAAGATTATCAATAGGATCTATCAATCAATATAGCCCCACTCAAGCAGAAAACGATTAGTTACATTCCCCGGCACTGGCGGTCGCAGCCGCTAGCAAAAGGGGGGGCCAAAGTCACACTCGCGGGACATAACATTTACCCGTCACCGGGGGGGGGGGGGGGGCGATCGGCAAATTTTTTACGTCCACGAGGCGCCGCACAGTTGGCATTACTTATGCTTCATCCATCTCATTCTTGCGTGAAATCTTTGAGCTCAATTTAAGGCAAAATCACCAGTTCCAACTTCCATTTACCGTCTCACGGTGTGCCCACCGGTCGGGCCGCTGCACCGTCCATGACGACGGATCGGTGTAGCATAGGTATACTGGAAGGTCAGGCACGCGGATTCATGACCTTACCACTATAAAACAATTCGGAAAAGTACAGATACATCTTGCTAAAAAGTACAGATACCTCTTGCTTTGAACAAGCATGTGAAACCCAGAGAGCATTTTTAGACTATGACATTTACCCATATAGGTACCTAGTTGTGTGGCGGCGGGAGAGAGTAGGTACACCGGCCTCTGGAGACCCCCACAGGTTCCGAGCTTTCAGAATTGGCATCTGAGGGCCGCGCGCGACTCCTGCGGGGCTTCGCAACGGCTCTGTTGGGGCTCACTCAACCTGCCTAGTCCTACTGCTAAAAAGACTGGCCCTGAGCCCTAAGGACTTCATCAGTCTCTGCCAGCCCCAGGACCCACAGCGGCTCATGGGGTCCCGACCTCGAAATATGAGGAATCAGCGTGGGACCATCAGGACGTAAAGCAATCTCGATCAGGACCAACGTAAGGCTGTGCCGGAGACTGCGTGAGCCCTCTGATCTTCAGAAACCCACCCATGTATGTTTTCATGTAGAGGCTAGTTTAGGGCCCTCAGAGACCAGTACAGGGTCTGCAAGCTACAAAGGCCAGTAGTTTGAGACCATCAGAGACCGAGTTGGGCTCTCAGAGGCTAATGTGGGTCCTTACTCATTACAGGCCAGCATGGACCCTCAGAGGTCAGCGTGGGGCCCTAAAAGACCGGCATGAGCCGTCGTTGGACCCCAGAGGCCAGCAGAGGGCCCTCAAAGGCCAAGATGGGCCCTCCTCAGAGGCCAATGCAGACCCTTAGAGGCCGGCATCGGGTCTTCAGCAGCCAGTGCGGGGCCCTTATTGGCACCTAAAGGTTCGTCTTGGGACACCAGAGACAGAAATAAAGCCACCAGAGACCGGTGTGAGACCCTCAGACGCCGGTTGGGACCCCTGAGGCCGGTTAGGGGCCCTCATAGGCCAGATGTGGGGCCTCAGAGGTTGATGTAGGCTCTTAGCGGTCAACGTGGGCGCTTGACCGCCACTGAAGTTCCCTCAGAGGTCAGTGTAGGACGTTCAAAGACCGGTGTGGGAGCTATATTAATAGCTGGGCGTGGTTTTTTTTTAGCCTCGTGACGATCGAATAATTGCCAGGGCCCCATACACCTATATGGGGGCCCATTGGTTGTTTGAGGGGGGGGGGGGCAAATGATATGATGGCCCCCTTTATTGACCTTTGGGGGCATGGCCCTGATGCCCCCCCCCCCGGCCCCCGCGACCGCCACTGTGTACACATTACACACATGCCTCTGAGATTACATACTAGCTCATGCAAACTCTATGCAGGCCCCGGAGGTCCCACGCTAATCCTTAAGAAACCAAGCCGGCATACGGCGTCACCACCGGGCTTCTGAGGTGCACAGCACCAACCCATGAGGTCTTACTTTAGTGTCTTGGAGCCAATCTCCTTTAGCAGGGCCCAACCGCCACTGCCGAAGAGGGTCTCATGCCAGCCATTGCTGAATGCTGGGCCTACGAGAGCCTCAAGTAAACCCACGCTGATATTCCATATAAGATCCGGCCATACTCGTGAACCGGTGCCCGCGACGCTGACCGCCAAATTGACAGAATGCGAAACTGAGCCCACTCATGAGTGAAATTTACGTCCTTTGATGGCGCAAGAAAGAAAATGAAACATACGAAAAGCTTTTCTAGGACTTTTGTTCGATCTGAAAGGTGGGGCCAAAAGATAGTATGGCCCCACCTTTCAGCACCAAAGGGGGGGCCATGGCCCCCGTGGCCCCCCCCCCTGCGACCGCCAGTGTTCCCCGGTGCCGACCGCGGGGGAGCCCGCCGAGCCGCTCTGCCGGCCAGGCGGGCGGTTTGTTCGGTCTCGTCTCTGCATGCCGGTGGGCCGCCCCGTGCTCCGACCTTGTGCCGGAACAAACAACTGTCTGTATCTGTGCGGGCGGCTCTGCCTCACCCAACCAGCGACTGCTCAGCGCCGACAAAAAGCTCAGCAAACCGGCCGCCGAGCTGACGATGACTGCCGGCCGCGCTGTTTTTCACGGGGAAGCTGTCGAGGGCGTGGTCGGACGGGCTGGGCGCGGCGTCGGGGACCGGTATATAGGCGCCGGGGCCGCTGGCAGGGGCACACTCCCTCCCTCCCGTCCCCCGGCGACTCGGCACGGCCCCAGGATGATGCGGCTGGTGGTGCTCTCGGCGCTGGTGGCAGCCGCCGCTGCTGCGTACTACGACTACAACTTGCCGCTGACGTACGCCGCCTCCCCGTACGCCGCCGCGCCTCTGACGTACGCCGCTGCTCCGTACGCCGCTGCTCCGTACGCCGCCTCTCCGCTGACGTATGCCGCTGCTCCGTACGCCGCCTCTCCGCTGACTTACGCCGCTGCTCCGGTGGCGGCGGCGCCGGCTCCGTACTCCTTCTCTCGCCGCTACCAGACGCAGGACGAGCTCGGCCAGGCCACCTTCGGCCACGAGGAGCCCAACCAGAGTCACGCGGCCGTGCGCGACGCGTTCGGTAACGTGGCCGGCAGCTACAGCTACATCAACCCAGAGGGCCAGACCATCTCCGTCAAGTACACGGCCGGCGAGGAGGGCGTTCAGGTGGAGAGCAACGCGCTGCCCGTGGCGCCCATCGACACCGGCAAGCCGCCGGTGGACACTGGCGTGCCGCCGGCGCCCGTGCAGGCCACCCCCGAGGTGCAGGCCGCCACGGCCGCCCACCTGGCCGCCGTCATGGAGGCCGAGCAGATGGCAGCAGCTCCCGAGATGCCCGGCGCCGCTCCCGAGATGATGCCCGGCGCCGCTCCCGAGATGCCCGAGATGATGCCCGGCGCCGCTTCTGAGATGCCCGGCGCCGCTCCCGGGATGCGCAAGAGGCGCGCTCTGCTGTACACCGCCGCCGCCGCCGCCCCCGCCGCTGGCTACGCCGCCGAGAAGACGGAGGTCATCCTGAACCCGGGGCACGCCACCTCGTACCGCGTGGACCCGGTGGCGCCGGCGCTGCTGAGGAAGCGCCGCGGTGTGCTGCTGCCCTCGCTGTACTCGGGCTCCGCTCTGCTGTATGCCGCCCCCGCCGCCGCCGCCGCCCCGGCCGCCGGATACGCCGCCGAGAAGACCGAGGTGATCCTCAACCCGGGCCACGCCACCTCGTACCGGGTTGACCCGCTGATGTAGGAGACGTCATAACAGGACCACCGGGACGGGAGGGATGACGCCGTCACAGGACGGGAGGGATGTGCGAGTCCAGCCGGGGGCCAGTGTTCGCCGCCGCCGCCGCCGCCGCCGCGTCCCCACGGCTGGCGGCGCGGGACGGACGGACAGGGTTCTCAGCTGACTCCACAGATAGACACTCTACACATACACATTACACCACAGCTGGACGCGAGGTGATGTTGCTCAGATCAACGACTCTGGTGATCTCAGCGTGTCCGGGAAAAGTTCCATTGTTCGCCATCTATCGTCCACGCATCGTGTGACTGATAAACGTCAATGCACTATACTGTGTTTATGGACAATGTGTTATTGATTTGAGAACTATTTTTGATATTTTTCTTTTATACAAAATAAAAACAGGCAATGCGAGAGACGGTTCGTCTTTAAGTGTTGTGTTTCCGATTCTTCACTAGGTATAAGGAAGACTGTTGCGTTAGATTGTCGAGCAGAAAGAAGTCCCGATGAATAAAGCCGTAGTTACGTCGCTTACCGCCGTTCAGGAACCACACTGATACACGTCGGTGATTTATAAGATCGACTTCTTATAGCATTGGTAGGTACTCCCCAGAGCGAATATCTAACAAACTCGGTAGTCAGTCAGGGCCAGATCTATAGCTTGTCCTCCTTTTCTGTGGTTGGTTATCCTTTTCTGCTGCAATGGACGGATGAAATCCAGTCAGGTCTGTCGGATGCTGTTTTTCTGAGACCTGATGCAGCTCCAGAGTCCAGAAGTAACGACTTACAGTCACTAGTCCTGGACCGTCGCTAATTGTTCAGCAAAACCTGTGTCAAGATGACCTCTGCTGAACTTCAGGTCACCCGAGGTCATCTCATGTTCAAACAAGGTATCCACTTTACTTTCGCATACCCGCATCTTTACGGATAATTTTGCTTTGCGTGGTTCTCTCGCCTAGTTGAGACCATTTCGGGACTGTGGGATGAAAAGATTTACAGATTGGAACATAAGGCTGAGTCAATCAGCAACTGCGCCGGTCGCAGCTGGGAGCCCATCTCGATTCTCGTCGGGAGGGGAGTACCCCGAGAGACAGGTTCAACCGGACATCCCGGAGGACTGCCCTATCGGCTATCCGAGTCTTGACCGCGTCATTGACTGGCACGGCCCCCTCTCCTTTCCCGTCCAAACGTCTCGCCCGCCTCTGGCCCGGCGCGCCCGGTCCCCTGTCACCCCGGCTCTGCCCCATCCGCCCCCTCCTCTGGCGGGCATCACGTGGGCCCGCCGGTGGCGCCGCCGGCGGCAGTCCTCCGAACTAGAGGCGGTCGGCGCCGGGGTACCTCCGGCGCCGCAGAGCGTCTCCGCGCGGCGGACGGTGTGGTGATGCGTGGTGAGCTGCGCTCCTCTGGCGCCGTCCGCGTGTCGCCTGTGGTGGTGCTGGCGGGCCGATCCGGACAGGGCACCATGGGTCGTCCCAACACAGCGGCGTTCACCGGCGGCTACCTGATCCAGGTAAGAGGCGGCGCTGCGGCGCCCCGCCGCGCCGCCGGGTCGGGTCGGTCAGCTGATCGGGGTGCCGGGATCATGTGACCACTCCCCCGCGCCGCGGTGTGCGGGCCCCGCCGAGGGGAAGGGGGAGTACGGACGATTGACTGCCACTGAGCCGCCCCGTGGAATGTCCGTGTCGAGTTTAGGTGCCGGCGTGGGACGCTGCCCGACGTCCCCTCCCGTCGCCGTTCTCGAGTTCAGCCTGCGTACGGTCACGGATCACACGGATGTTTACGAGGAGGTCGACTGTATGGACCGGATTAGTCCTGTTCTCTGTCACACACGTCTCTTCATGACGGTCAAGCGGACTTTTGTCTGAGAGACAACACAATGGGCATAACCATTCGAAAGGTCGTCAAAAAGTCGTCAAAATCGCGAAGTTCTAAAGTGAAGGTCAGGTCAAAGTCGTGCACCAGATTTTGATTTGAGCAAAAATCGAATTGCCCTAGTGATAGACGGTCTTGGAATAGGCATGTTCACAATATGAATGAGCCACACCACAGCATCGTATAAAAAAGTCATAGCTCTACGTAGATGTTGCGATAATCAAAGAGGGATCATTCATCATGAACATGATTAGGTACTAATTATGAGCATGACCAACGCGATCTTACTTTGTGGTACAGTCTCCTGAGTCGACGACAGCCGTACACCATCCGTAAAGACAAGTCAAAGGCTCTGCACTTTGACATTCAGAGATCAGCTGAAATGACCTCTGGTCAGGGTCGTACGTGATCGGAATCGGGTTCCGCTTCTATAAGTCGATCCGTATTGTTGTGATGTATGCATCCAATACGTTTTTTTTTAAGGCATGCCTCTCAGACATTATTGTAGACATTCGGTGATCGTTTAATCACGGTGTACGTCATATACTCAATCAAATACTCATACGTACAATTGGGTTTTACTTGGTCAATAACTAACAATGCGGAAAAAAGTATGGTGCGGACGAGGTTTCAAAATTAGTCAGGCCGTAGGTCACCAATCGATATCAAAATCTACAGTGTTGATGAAATGTGACGTTGCCCACAATCCGTATCTTTTTTGATCGCTGCAAATGCCTCACACGCTGGAGCTCGCCATTGGTTATCCGTGTCCTATGGTTTGAAAAGCACAGGTCATCGCCATGGCTCGCGTGGCCAGACGCTCGACAGGGCAGGCTAGGCCGAGAGGAAAGTGCGAGGGATTTCTGCTCACGAGAAATATCTCCTTAGCTCCCCGATGAGTCACCAGCGGCAAATGAACGCCAAGCTTCGTTTACAAGCCCTTGCACGTCGCACACAGCCTGTCCACGACCCTGTCCCCGTGGTCCCTCCGCTGTGGTCCCTCCATGCCCCCCTTCCGTGGTCCGCCGTGGTCCTCTCCTGGAGCTTTTCGGTGAAGTTTGGGTATCACCCGATTCCTCCCTAACCCTACCATGTCTGGTAACCGCCCGGTTAGTCCCGTAATATCGCGCGGCTGTATACCCGGCCTCAGCGCCAATGACCCACTCTGAGTGCTGCTGAAATCCAAACGTTATCGCCATTACCATTATTCATTGTCTTGGCCCGATGATCCCTTCTGCCAGCTGCTCAAACCGGTCGGGAAAGCCCGGCGGTCTACTGGTCGGAGTGAAGCCGGATCCCTTTGGTGCGATCAGCGATGTCTTAAGTCGTTCACTGCGAAGAGGCCGAGGGAGCAACAGCGACATGATGCAGCTTTTTATGGCGCTTTGAACGGTTGGCGATCTGTCTCAATTGATAGCGATGACATTCCTAATCCAACTTAAAAATGACCGTCTTACTCAAAGTAGCAGGTGTTTGTGATCCGAGCCCCGCTTGCATGCTTATTGCTTACCTTACCTAGGTATGGTTAATCTTCAGTTTTGACACATGTCTATTGTTGAGTGATCTGGCAGTGCTGCATCGAACTTTTCCAGCTGACGACGGACTAAACCATTACTTCGGTGATAGGCCGGCCACCGGGCTGCTCCGGAATTCTGCCTCTGAGTTCAGTCGATATTTATTTTCAGTTGGGTTATATAACCCCCATTTGCCATGCTGTAAGATGATCAGATCAATATGATGGCAGTCTGATTTCATCGAGTGAGCTTTTCGGCTTCCTTTTATCTGCTGGTCGTCTCTGTTACTTGTTTCAATTGGTAATGGATAGCCTCGGATAGGTGGAATTCTAGAACGGTCAATGGTCGTCCTTGTGCTGAGTTGATAAAATGTCTGCAATCCTGCCGGCGAGCAGTTAGCTCTGCTGTGTCGACCTGCCCGACTGTTTATTCCAGATGGCGTATCTGAGCTCCTCTTGGTGTTTTCACGTTTTGAAAGTTCTCGGTTCTGAGCCTGGTGGGCGACACCAGCTAGCGTTCACTTCACTCATTCCTCTGTGCATGGAAGCTGGGGCGGCTATCTGAAGATGACGTTGCGCTAACGCTCGAGCCTCTCGAATGTCTAGTGGAATGCCAGATTACAAGCTTCTCCTTCGTAGATTACACTGGTAAACTTGTGGATTACAAGCGTCTTTCGGCTGCCGGCGGCGTACCGTGGTGACCCATGGCCTCCGGTGTCAGTCGGCAACCGGTGCCACTCCGTCCGTGTCATGTGTTGGTCGCAGCTGGTCTCGGCACCTGTACCTGCGGGAGGCAGCGGAGAGTCGTAAACCTCCACCCCATCCCCCCTGGACCCTGCAGGCTGGGCTGGGCTATAGACCCTGGGCTTGGCTGGGCTGTTCAGATGACCTGGGGACGGGGTCATGCTGGCCCACCTAGAGGCAGACAACAGTTACAAATTTAGACTTTTGTACGAACAAGCCTACAAAGTTTCTGAGGACTTTGCAACACTTTTTGATATCCCCTCATGATGCTTTATGGGATGTTCCGGGCGTTTAAAAATCAAACAAACCCACATGCATGCACGTTATCAGCAATATCGCATGATATGCCTGATAGGAACATTCCGATGTTGTCATCTGCTGACGTATCTTGTTTGCAAACATATCCTACGTCTTATTCGATCACCTGGACATTGAACCAGTACATTGACAGGCCATTTGACAAATTTGTTTGGATTACGGCTAACCCATTGCGGCTCCTGATCTTACGGAAAATTACGCCAAATCTTGCGAACATTTCAGTGGAAATACAAAAGTAAGGTCATCATTTGTTTTGGCCACACCGCCAAAAATACGCGATAGATAGAAATAAATAGGACATCATATGAAAAGCATTTTATAAAATTTTATTCTGATATACATATGAGTCATACATTGGCTCGTAGCCTCACATTTGCTGCTTTTCTACATGGCTACCATTTCGGGCCGCGTGCACGAATAGACTGCGTTTTACTTCCTCCACTATTCTGGAGCGATTCTCTGGTGAGATGCCGCTTATGTTTGCTCGGAGGGATCATCCTTTAGTTCTTCCCGGCTCGTTGGGTTGTCCTAAAAGACAACCTTTCCATTGTGTACCCAGATAATAAAAATATGAAGGTGTAACGTCAGGTGACCGCGGAGGCCATTCAATGGCGTTGCCCTGACTGAAAATTACGCGATCTCACATCCACTCTCGGAGACAATGCATGATCTTCAGGACGGTGCAAGCATAGTCTCCATCCTGCTGAAACCACTGCTGGTTGATGGTGTCGGCACAGCTGCGTTGCGACGAGCGGAAGAACCACTGGGAGGACTCTCGGCTACCTCTCTTGATTTATTTTCACCCGATTCCCGCTGTCGTCCTCAGGACCTCGAAGCACAGGTGGCTAAGTATACATGCCCTGTGCGTACATTTTACCTTTTTTCTGACGTTTTACCGGTTGAGGCGAAACTATGCAGAGTTCAGAGATAGGGCGAGCTGATAGGGTCTGCTTAGGGCCGAAAACTGGGCGGTTTTTACCCTTTGTTTTAATGACGACCCTCTCTAAGAGTTGAATTTCGACCTTCTCAATTTTATGCCTACTGCTCGGTGTAGTTATGATCAAAAATGGTTTAAGCATGCAAGAAAATAATTTTATGGATGCACCTTGCAGGTGTTAAAATTGGAAGTGATTCGGACTCTTACTTCTCGAGATATTTAAGTTTTAAATTATGACCTTACTTTTGGGACACCCTGTATGTGTCGGTGGAACTTTACAAATACGAGAAATATGTCAAAAGAATGGACTTTTTTAGGCGCTCAATTCTGATTGAGGCCTGTGACAACCGATGGGATGGAGTACTTACGTCGTGCTGCTATTATGCAGCTCTTCTCGCCTAAGACTTAAGAGTAGATGCCATTACGTTCTATATGGGAATTGTCGTGACTAAACAATGATGTCATCAATAACTGACGAAGTCCGTCAGCTATACACAAGACGTGAGTCGATCGACAGTCAGATCCAACCACCAGACAGTTGCTAAGCACCCAGTTGACCCTGGCTACCATCGCTTTGTTACTTGACTCAGCAAAATAGTGAATGAGTTTCGCGATTTTTTTGTGCCCAAACTGCGACCGCTGAGATCTTCACCAAGTCCCTGAATTTAGCATAAACACTGGAAGCGCTGCCTAAAAAGCGACAAGCTGTTTGTCGCGTCCTTTGGTCGTTTGTCATGAAGGCGTTGTCTGAGTTGGGGTAGGGTAATGGGATTCGTGTCGCGCGTCGGTCGTGATCGAAACTCACGAGTTATGCTCTTTTTCGTGTCAGTGGGTGGATCCATAGCTGTTCATGTAAGATTCTCTGTAAAATCTAGTGGATGGGTCTGTAAAATCTTTGTCCGTTCTCCATTGCATGGTGACTTTTAAATGCTCCTGATGAACATGAATTTAGGGCTTGTATCGATATTGACTTGACAAAACAAAGTTGCGATGTGAGAATTTAAGACGTTTATTTTCACGGTAATTAGGGGATCGGTAGCTGCATTTTTTCGATGATCTGACGCTTGTCGCGGTTGATAACCGTCTCGCTTGTGCCCATTCCGGTACCCCATGTTTCCAGCGCATG